TGAGGAGCATTAAGTGTAGAACCACTAGACTGAGGAACAGCTTCTACCCTGAGGCTGTTAGACTCATGAATCTCTAACCAGGAGAATCACTGTGATGTCACTTGGTTGTTTATATGTGATGCTGATGTCATGCTGCTGATGTCATGCTGCTGATGTCATGCTGCTGATGTCATGCTGCTGTGTTCATTAGTCCTGATCTGCTCACACAGACTCATGTTCGTGCTGCTGTTGTTTCGGTACACTGTTTTGTACCATTAGTACTTAGTGTATTCTTAGTTCATGCTTGGATCTTATGAATGTTTTTCTTTACAATTTGTGTAGTTGGTGGATGTAAGTGGGACCCTGTGGACATAGTTTTGCTCTCCTCATGTGTCACGTGTGGTGTGCAGGACAAATAAATCTCTCTGACTCTGACTGAATGTGTGTGTGATTGTAAAATGATCTTTACATAAGCAGGAGTGTATAAAGGTCTGAGAACATCCCATCTGTGAGGATTCTTCAGTTTGGTCTGTGTGCTCTTCAGTCTCCAGTCATACAGTTTTATTTAATGATTCCAGTATCAGTTGTAGGAAATAGCCACTACAACTCTTTATACTCTCTGCGAGCAGACCTTGGAGATAGCAAGATGTAACATCTTGAATCTTGTCTTTTCAATTGCTGCTCCTCTTGCAACATTAAACCTGGCTTCACAAGATCTTCTAGTTTTCCTTGCATGGCTTATTTATTTAACGAGGTGTTGACAGGATATTTAAATTATCCAACAGTCAGCCAAACATGGTGAGAGGAAACCAGAGTGCCAAAAAACCACAAGGACAACATGGAAACGGTAAACAGAGAACCCAGATCCTTCTTACGCTGAGGCTACAGTGCTAACCACTGAGCCATCGTGTTCTCAGTGTTCAATTCAAAACTACTTTATTAATCCAGAGGTAAATTAAATGTTGTTGTAACTCATCATCCTGGTTTCATTAGAGTTGTTCTAGATGCTGATGGCTGTGGACAGGAAGGATCTCTTGTCCTGCAGCAGATCTGAAGAAGCCTCTGACTGAAGACACTCTGTTGTTGTATGACAGTCTGTTGTTGTATGACAGTCTGATGTTGTATGACAGTCTGATGTTGTATGACAGTCTGTTGTTG